GCTAAGTTCAAAATAGGTGGCTACACTTTCTAAGTAGCTAAGCTGAAAATGAGTAGGAACCAAGCTGCCTGAAAACAGGGGAGTCCCAATTTACTCAGTACAGTTGTTATATATTTGATTTCTCACCATTTAAAACTCTCCTTGGACATTAAAGCTGAGATTTCTCAAAGGATTTAAGGGAATCAGGTACCCAGGCCCCATTAAAAATCAATGAGATTTGGAAGCCTGACAACTCCCTCATGCTACTTTCAGAGTCCCACCCTAAATTCATTCAACAATTACTCTTTTTTTTTTTTTTTTTTTTTTAATTGTTAGTAGGTATGTGCACTTTTTGTTGATTTTATTCAGGCCAAAAGATTTCACTCCTGCTTCCTCCTCCTTCAGCATTATCCCAAAGAGAACTTCTCAATGGGATTACAATTGAGTGTACCCCCTTCTGTGCAATGGAACAACAACTGGAGTCACAAATGTAATAGTAACCACAAAAACAACAAGGAGTCCGGTGGCACCTTAAAGACTAACAGATTTATTTGGGCATAAACTTTTGTGGGTAAAAAACCTCACTTTTAAGAGTAAGTGTGCCATAACTTCTATGTATGCTAGACTGCCATTAAAAATGTATATGCATCACTGAAAAACAAATTCTCTCAAACTATCATAGCTAGTCACTCATCTCTAGGTATAAACTTCATTTAATAGTCTTTTGTAAATTTCCCTTTTGGAATAGGCCAGCTTTATTTAGAAGCACATTTTATTTCAAATTTCACACATTTAAAAGTTGTTCTTCAAAGATCTAACAGTTGCTTATCATATTATGTAATCCATAATATATTTTATAATGCCAGGATGTAGCTTTTGAAGGGCAGGACAAAAGAAAGAGGTGAATATTCTATTACAAATGGTCTAAATACAGGAATATAAAATTACCAGTTTGAAAAAAGTCATGGAACTCAAGAACTTAAATCAGATACATACATTTTAATAAGTGAGATATCACGCAGTTTGAGGTTGTGATGTAAAATGGAAAGAATATATATCACAGCACCATCAGACAGAAACTTCCATCATCTCTGAAACAGCTAAATTACCTGACAAATCTGAAATACAATGGATACTGTGTGTCTAACACTACTTGGTAATGTATTTCCTGCAATGAACCCAATTTGTTTATTTCTGAAAGTCACAATGCATTCATAAATCTTTCATATAACCTAAGAAATCTTTTGAAATAGTGAAATCTCAGTTGTTATATGTAACTGTCCATACTAAATGCTTTTGTGGATCATTAACCATTCTGGTCTGACACAAAGCCAGATAATTACGACATGTTTGTTAATGTTCCAAATGGAGCTCTATGTGATTCTCCATTAATCATTACACACAACTTCAAAATCTAGCACTACTAAACATTTGTTAATAGAGGCTTAAAAATGTAATTACTGCCATGATATGTGGCATTATTAAAAATGCAGGTCAATTGTTTAAAATCTATAAAGATTTATGTTCATTTAATGCCTTTATATTATTGTCTATATAAACCACAATCCTACCTGAAAGTTACCTTGACAGACAGATAAAACCCTAGTGAGCAATTACACAATGATATTCATTAGCAAAGAAAAGCACTGCTTTTATTAAATAGAAACCTGAGAAGTAGCTGAGAATTGACTTTAACAACGAACCTTAGACCAAAGGGTTTCATTTTCAACATTTGCTTTTATTCTTTTCTTATACCGAGACCTAGATTGATGAATTTGCATAAAAATTTATTGGACTAACTTTATGACATCAGTTATTGTTTCCATTTTATTCCCATGTGTGTCCTCTGCATTCCCGATCAGAACGCTGAGGATCCCTCCATTAAAACCCCCATCACCCACATTGATACCCACATTGCTGGGACCATATTATTCTCTTTGAGGCCCATCAACACCACTCAATGATCCAAAGGGGATGATTTTTAGCATCACAAGGCAATCCCCTCTCCTGCAGACTGAACATTAAGATTTCAAAGCGTTTCCAAGTCCTTCTGGTCCAAGGCCTTTTCTTTTATAACAGCCTTGATTCATAAGCATTCATCACGTCTCCTGTACAGACGTTTTGGGAAGTTGGCTTATGCCTTAGGACTCAAGCCAACATCACTTGCAGATGTAACAAACTGAGGGTAAATAAAACTATACATTCTGAAATCAGTACTGTGTGATATATCCTGTATCCTGTTTTAATCTCTGCTGGTAATTCATTATTTGATCACTCCCAACTCAATCTCTTTGTGACTCAACATACCCATCTGTAAAATAGGAATAATACTTCCCAACCTCCTTGGGTGGCCTCATTGTAAAATCTTTGAGCTCATCAGATGAAAGAAGACAAATTAGCAATAAAACATTATCACCACCACCACTTGGGAAAAGATACCATACTCAAACCAGACTGACTGCTGATTTAGCTTCAGGACATGAGTCCTGTATTACTTCTAATGTATCAAAGTTCCGTGAAAACCAATGCCATAAAAAAAAAAAAAAAAAGCATGTGTATTACATTTAATGGCAATGTAAAGACCTACAGAAAAGCCAGTAACTATGTATATTTCCAATGGGAAAAACAAGGGACAAACACATCTGCTGCACAAACTCACCAAGCAACACACTAATAAATAATTAGAAGGTCTGGCTGGATTCTTTATTTTTATAACACAAATGGATTTTATTTTTTTTTTGAGTGCAGCATTTGACCTCAGAAGGTTTTGTCCTTTATCTAGCAGCAGGACTTTGAGATGTCAGGCAGGCAGATTTGGAAAAGGCCCACAACGAGGAGGTCTAAAGAGTAGTCAAGGCCAGTAAATGTCAGCTAGGTCCTCTCTGTGTTTGACACTTGCAGAGCTCTCCCCTGATGACATATCTGAGGTATGGTGAAACCTGTACAAGGCACTGTACTCATTGGGCCGAAGTGTATCTCTGAAGAAAGCACTCCAAAAAACCCAGAAACAGAGTAAAGTTCTGCTCAACCTTCACTAGAAAGCTACGTGGTACGCAGCTGATCTTTATTGTCCCTTATGTGATCATTTAAGACAGTCCCATGGTCTGCTTAACAGGTCCCTACCATGCTCCTCCATCCCAATTTGTCTACAGGACCATCATCTTTAATAATCTGCATCTGGATACTAGATAGACCAAACTCTTGATCTGTTGCCTGCCACTGTGTAGGTATGGCAGAGAGGAAGCATGCTGTCTTCACAAAAGAGAATGCTACCCTTAAAGTCTCCTGCCAACGTAGCCACTAAGCTGCAGAGAAGTCCAGAAAACTGGAATTCATTGCCCCAGCGCTTAGCCAGAATTCAGACACCAAATTGTGAAGGCTCTAAGAACACACGGGTGGGGCAGGATAAAAAATGTGGGAGAAAATACCAAAGGTGATACCTTGAAAAGTCCAAGGAGGTTTTATACAAAACAACTGCACTTCACCCCTTCTGAAGCCCTAGCAATTTTGGCATTTTAAATGTTATGATTTTCAACTAGAGATATTTAAATTCATCATTAACATTCTTGACTCAAAACAGTAAATAGCATTATAAAAAAAAACTTCAGAAAACATTAAGAACAGCTTCAATACAGGAAAAAGAACAGGAGTACTTGTGGCACCTTAGAGGCTAACAAATAAGTCCTGTTCTTTTTGCGGATACAGACTAACACGGCTGCTACTCTGAAACTGTCAATACAGTGTATTTTTCAATCTTTCTGAAAAGGTTAATTTTAAAACAGAAACTCTATCCCACAGAAATGCACAGTCAGTCAGTTACTGAAGTTATACTTCTTTTCTGCTTACTGAGTCTGAAGCATCATTGATGGCAGCAGCACAACTATAGAAACTGGGTATATTAACTGTAGTTGGGAAACCAGCAGAGGGAGCACAAAACTTTAATTTGGGGGCAAGTGGGTTGGAAGTGACAAAAGCCAGGGCTATTTTATTATTGGCTCATGGTGAAATTGTAAATGTTCTTAAAAAATAAAGATCTTTAGAAGTTTTTAACAACATGCCTTTCTATTTTGCCTGTTTAGGTAAAAGTGAAATAGATAAAACTTCTCATCTGCCTCACTCATGCATGCATATGCACAGCTGCACACACTAATACCTCCTCTACCCCAAAATGGTCTGCCATGGCGTCACTTTGAAAAATACTTCACAGATCTGTACCCAATAACAATTAAGTTTTAAATAGATTATTATAGTATCTGACACTGGCAAATGCCACTAAGATGGCCGAGCCTCCTTAATCCACAGTCATTAGCAAAAATATTGTTTTTAGTCAGTCAGTTTTGGGTGGGCTGAAACTGTAAGTGTTTCTCTTAAATAATAACTTTTTATCAAAGATATTTTCATTCATTCAAACTAAGTTTGCCTTGCAAACCAATCAGAAAGCAGCAAGCTTTATCAATACTGGTAGGGCTAGAAACAGTCACTAAGACACCTATTGCAGAATAAGCCTTTTTCCTGATGAGCTATTTTATTTTTAAATATCCTTATTTTTTAGGGAACACTCATTATTAATGTCTGCATCTCTGAAAATAAACATCTTGATTTGGCATTTACATCAAGAGACCATTATTCTGTCACAACTTCCCATTCACTTGATATTTTTTCTTAATTAAATAGACAATTTAATCTGATCATCTGACACTGTAAATCATTTGCTCTAGAGAGAATACTGGAGAGAAGCTTTATGGGGTTAATTTACAGTAATTATGGAAAAAGCTAATTTATTGTGTCACTGGTTAATCCTGCCGAAGCAATTTAGCAGCAGACATCCTGTAACACGATTTGGTACAGTAATATTTAACGTTTGAGAAGATAAACAGTGGAAGAGATTCAATATCTAGTACGAGTTCACAAAATATCATGTAACGAGGACTACTAGCTCTAAGTGAGGATAGTTTTTTGTCTTGCTGTTCTTGAAATTAAAAGGAAAAACTGCAAAATGTATAATCCTCTATGCTACTCACATTTTCAGGGATACTGGGAAGCTCTGTGATGTCAGGCACACTAAAGTAAGAATGCTGGAAAGGAAAAAACAAACAATTATTTTTGCATAGTTAAAAGAAATACAAAATATTGCTTGGAATCAGTAATGTGTTTAGCCCATAATTGCAAAAGGAAACTGATATATAACAACTTTTTCTATCAACTACCAATGAGATCATTTTGCCATTGTTTTCAAAATTTAGATTTTTTTTCTCAAGGTTAAAAAAATACTATAACAAATGTTGAGTCACAAAGTATCAAATATCTTTAAAAGGATAAATTACATGTAATTCTTGTACTTCAGATGTATTAATACACATAGCCTCACACTATTTATGACCTATGTCAGAAGAACTCCAAAGCTTTCTGTAATTCAGACCATCTTTCCTCAGCCCACTGCAAGATCCATGTCTGAGTACAGAACATGCAACAGCCAGCTCCTTTTTGGCCTAAGGTAGTACAATATTAATGTGTTTCACTGTTTAGGCAACAAAAGAAATGGAGCTGTATCTAAAAAGGGCTCCTACTTTCAGAGAATGAAACTGACTGGTAATTTTATCCTTTGTCTTAAACTAGGGAACTCTCATAATTACCCTCCCCGATCGCTGCATGAAATACAAAGAGTTCTGATGCAATAACAATGGTTGCTCTTGATCTCCTTGACATATCTCCTTTTATATATTATAGGATTCTCCAGTGGTACCTTAAGAGTGTTCCTGATGACTGCTAGAGAATGATTGAAGCGCTGCAAAATTATATCACCCGGCAGAATAAATGAGAGTTCCTCTAGGGAAATATATACTGTGAAATTAAAAAAGCAGCACCATTTAAGAAAGCAAACAGAACTTAAGATATATCATTTATTAACTATTCTCTTGCTTATTGTCTCTTGAATCCCATGGCTAATAGTAACATGGAGCAGTCTTGCGCAATGCACATTTGTATTGCTATATGGTTTGGAATGTTCACAGTAGATGGTGTCAAAAATCTGCACCAAAAATGCTCCAACCTGCCAAGTACCCCCTTTAGATGCCCTGATCTACCACACCAGACAGGCAAACTACCAAGTTTGCATATGGCAAATTTTGTCCATAGCAGATGCTGTTGCTTCAAGTCCAGCTGGTCATAGTTAAGACATGCATAATGAGCAGATAAACATCCATTCATCGGTTATATCAAAAACTAGCCCAAAATAAATACAGAGCTAGAGAGTTGCAGTGCTAAAAAGATTACTATATGGGAGAAGAACCCATTATAAACATATAACGCCATTCCCACATTTGTAAACATACAATACAGAAAAGCCCTCACCGTAAAGACGCAACAAGTTTCAATGATTGTATATGACTGATACAATAACTGATTGTACAGACTATGAGCAATAAAATTAATTAACAGTATTATCTAACTACAGAACTTGGCCACTGCAAACAAACATCAATGGGACTTTTAAAACGTTTTTTTAAAATGCATTCAATTATTAAATGATTGTGCAGCACGAAGAAACAAAGCTGAACAAATTATCTCTTTCAGGTGCAATAAATGGAAATCCATTGTCTATTACCAAAATGTTTGAAATCAACCCACAGAAGTAAGAGGAGACTGGAATAAGTACAAAAAGTTTCGGGGAGGTTTGTATGTTACATCAAATACTAATGTTGCCACATACTGAAGGCTATGTCACCAATGAGTATGAGATTCAATGCAGAGTTTACAAGTTAAAAAAACATTCTGAAATAATAATTTTTTTCTAAGCACACCTTCATAAAGTAGTTATGCTTCTGCTGGTGCCTAGATCGGTCTTATATTTAATCTGATAAAGGTTTCCAAATACATGTGGGTGGTTGGCATACTCCTAACACTATTTTTTGAATGTATCTAGTACACTGATTCATTAGAAGAGGATTTCCATGTTTATCATATTGATATGACTATAGGATATTTGTCAACTTTGACAACTGTGGTTCTATTTGTGTAGTGTGCCTGAACTTAGAATAATTAACACACATGATAGCGGGGTTTCAGGTTCTAGGAGAAAGGCACTGGCTAGAGGAATCAGATGGATTCCCTCTGGGAGGGTTCTACATTAATGTTCAAGGCCCCAGTATTGCTAAGCCGTGTGCATACTTTAACTTCAACTGGATTACTCATGATGTGCAAAGTTAAGTACATGTATAAGTCTTTGCAGGATCAAGGCCCATGTATTTTTCATTCATGGCTTTCAAATACCAAAACTCACAATTTGCTATCCTGTTTTATGGTCAGTTGGCGTGTTAAAGAAGATAATGCTGTTTGAGTAATTTAACTGGAAAGCTATTTTGTGTACACCTTTTTATTTGTAGCTATTTGAAAAACTGTCTAGTTTTTATGTTGGTTTCCTAGTTTCCTGATGCTTCACACCACTGCAATTTGTGAATTGCTTAATGGAGCGATTTACTTGCTTTACATTCCAGGAAACTATTTTTGTTTTATTATTAACTATTTTGATAATGCAAGACATTTCTGCAGTTCTTATTTTGGGAGGTGAGGGTGGGTAGAGAGACTCAGTATTTTTGTTTGTAAGTTAATAGTGTGTATATTTTATATTATTTTGAATTTTATAATTTCTTATAAGACTGGCACTTTATTTTGTGTTAAAGTTTTTTGGGGACTGTTGTGCTCTTGTAATGTTTCCACAAGTCACACAATTCTATTGTATAGAGTGTTTATCATACATTCTATACTTCATGAACGATTTATGGGCTGAAGTATCTAGCAGTTAAAACAGCTACACTGACTACAGATAAAACAGGTATGCAATGCAGACTTTAGCTTCTCAATGTGTCACTACTTTAATTTGAATTGAAAAGGAGCAAAGAGGAAATGGAATATTGAGACTACACAATGAATAGGAAAAAAACTCCACAAGCTCTTACAGATCCATCAACTTGTAAACAGCTAAACTAAAATGCTTAAATAGCCCAAAACAAAAGTAGTCCCTAAGCTGTCCTTTGATATTCTTTCCTGCTCCAATGCTCATGAAATGTTTGAGGCAAGGGGAGACCAACAGCATTCCTTGAAACCACTGGTATGAAACAACTGAAATATCCCAACAGATCATCCTGTCTCTGAGACAGCTTGTCCTCTAGGTCAGGCAGACATGCTGTTCATACAATAGCTTTCCGTGATAGGACTGGGTCATCTCCACTGCCAGCTGGTGACCTAGCTAGGCCAAACAACTGCTACCTGTCGACTGACATTATAGGGTGAAGTGATGAGAGTAAGCTGTTTGTAGCCAGCAGTTCGTTTTAAAAGGAGGGGGGAAAGGGAAATGAAAGAGGCAGGCAGATAAGCAGAGCTGTAGCTGTACATCAGCAGCTCTAAATGTGAATTCTAAAAGCCTAAGCAGCACACAAAGCAACATGTGTTGAGTATTTTTCACTGGCTTTTTCAGATTTAGGAATTGCTGCCCAGAACACAAGGTTGATTCGCAAACATCAACTGGAAGAAAACAAAGAGAAATCTTTCCCTTAAAGCCCCACCAACCCATCCAAACGTAAGTTCTTCCACTAGTTTTTCACTAAGACTGGAACAGAATATAACAACCTCAATGCAAGTGTGAGGAAGAATAACTATTGGTTGGGGGGGAAGGGGGGAGAACGACACACACACGGAAATCACATGCACCAAAGTGTTAGTGCTCAGAGTGTTGCTCTGCCAGGCAGGAGACTCTGAGTTTGCTTCCCAGTCTTGTTCCTAATGCAGGCCAGCAGGGGCTGGGAGTGCTGCAGAGGTAGAATCATGAACCCCAAGAAGAGGAGTGTTGTGTTGCTCAGCAGTGACCCCTCTAGCTGATTAGGAGCAATGCTCACAAGTGTCCATACAGAATCCCACCCAGTCCTCTGCAGATCAAAGGATGGGGACTCTTTTCAGGGTTAACACTAGGGAAATGGAGAGGCTCTTCAGGGCTTTGACTGGAAAGGGGGCGTGCACAGCTCCTTGTCCCTGACGGAAAACAATATAATCTGCTACAAGACTCAAAAAGAAGAAAGCGCTGTTTTGATGTTTTTCTCTTACAATGGTACATAATGAAAATGTGTCTCCTTAGTTTGCTGCTGTTTTCCCTTACTTACCACACTGAGATTAACAGGTGTTCCTGGGTCAGGAATGGGAAGTTTATGAAGTGTTTCTAGGAGTTCATTCCTCTGACTGTCCTGAAATAAAAAAGTATCTGCTTAATAAAGGAACACTAAGCAATAAATTGTCATCTCATGCCAGGCACTGAGATATAAGTATATGGGTGCTCTGAGGCTAGATCACTTGCAAATGTAAGGAACAGATGCCAAAAGGATTTATACTGCAGACTCAAAGGAAATGACACCATTTTCTATGCAAATATCCTGGCAATATAAAATGCTGCTTTTAAAAACATAATACATCTTCCCACATGTAGGTTTCTATGTTTTTAAATCGTTCAAGAAATCTATCAGGGCACCATCCTATGCATGACTATGATCTCATCCCAGGGAGGGCCAGCTTCCATAGCAACTATTTCATAACAGAAACTATTTGCTTTCAGCTGAAGACATCATTATAAAAAGGCAAGCGCACCTTCTTCTTCTAATTTGTAGAAGTGTGATAAAATGCAAAATACGACTATTATTGGAGAAATGGTAAGGGAATCAAGGCAGTAACATATAGCAACCAGTCAGATTATAACAGTACTGCAGTAGCCTATCGTATCTGAAACATACATGATACATACAACGTATAAAGTTTTCCACAGTATGCATAATCTCCATGCACCACCAACTTTCATTTATAGTCCTAGAACTGACCCTTAATATTTTCAGTTCATATTCTGAATGAAATATTAAAAAGCATGCTTGAATTCCACACCACCACCCCAATTTTAAGTGTAAAAATCTATGTCTTCAACATTGGTAAGACAGATAGGATGAGCAACAGGAAAAAGGTCTTTTGCCTCAGCAGACCTGGTTTCAAATCTGTATCGGGTCACCACATAAGTAGGTTTAGAGAAGACATCTGTCCAACACTCATAGAAGCACAGTTACTCTGTCTTCCAGGAGGCCCAATACCAGAACTGCAAAGATGCTATGGCAATGATTAAGGTACTAATTAACAGAATACTGGAGGAACTTTCATGGTACTTGCCTAACTAAACTGTACCTGGCTCTCTCCAATGACTCTTTTTTGGATACCAAACTTAACCTAAAATGTGTTTGCATTTCTCAAAGCCCTTTTCATGAGAGTAGCTAAGTAGATCATAAAGCCCATTCTATAGGACTGTATGGTACAGATTGACAATTCAACTGGGTATTCTCTTATGAGAGTATTGCCTATATGGTTAATTTTCACCCTATCTAGTACGTGTGATGTTTGGAAAATGAGAGAGCTCCGAAAAGTACCTGTCCTTTTGCTGTATAATCTGCCAAGATGTTGAGCAGCTTATAAAAGACTTCAAACCATGGGAGATAACTAAAAAACAAAAACAAAAAGCACAACTGTAAGTTACTTGAAAATATCATCATGTAATTCTAGATTGGCAAGTTTTGTTATACACAGTTGATGCATCGTTAACAAAAGCCACACCATCGGAGCTGACACTTTGATAAATGGCTGGCAGGAAGGTGTGCGAGTTCTCTCTCCTGTAGTGGGTGTGGCCAGGAGGACGAGCCATGGCACTGCAGCGTGTATTGGCCACTGATCCCCTTCCGTTGATTGCAGAGCTTCCAATAATCACTCTTGGAGCTTCTGGCCACAGCATGGCACCACCATAAAAGGCAGCAATGGGTAAAAGTAGGTCTAAGAATCCAAGAAGTCAATGCTGAAAATTCATAAGAACAAAGGCCACCATTTCCAAACTCATTTCACTGTACATGCAATAAAGGGATGATCATGCAGAAGTCATAACTGTCTATGCAGCCATTGGTAACATTCTGGAATTGTTTACAAGTGCACATATTGTTGGACACTTTTTTAATTATACAAAGTTTTCCCATAGTGCATGCTTAATTAGTGACCTTCAGTGCAGCTGTTGGGGCCCTAAAAAAGGTAGAAAAAGGTGGCTGTTCTGTAATTGGATCCTGCCCTTATTTTTTTTTTTTTATTACCATAAAATTATTTGCATATTCTTTAAAAAATTATTTCTTTTTAAAATGAATCGCCAGAATGATGGGTATATTCTCTTACCCAGCATCTATAAAATTCCATTTATTCAAGCTGTAGTTAGACCAAGTATACTTCTTACCCTGAATGCAAATTTGTCTCATTTATACCATATCAGTTCTTTACAATAATCAGTAACAAAGAGTCAACTTTGAAAGGCGCGAACATGCTGAAAATTATGTATCTGCTTTTTCACACTGTATGTCTATTTAGTACTGCTATGCCTTGTAGGGACGTTTCTACTGCACATAAACAAGGACAGACAGCTAAGACACTAGTCTGTGCTGTAGGAAGCTCTGCTTGGATTTTATACCATGCTGCATGGCAAGGGTCTTTGAGTGTATTTATTTTTTAAATCTCTGCAAGGAATTTCCCCTAAGCTATAGTGAACAGGCAAGCTAGGAGTATGAAGCATAAAGTGATTTCTCTGTTAATCACAGATGCCTTGTGAAGCAAATAAAGTATATTTTTGATATAGTTGGACAAGATTTAAAGCCTTTACACAATATGACTACATCCTGCCAACTGTAAAGAAATCAGGGCCCCTATGGTTACTAACTGTACAGCTTGTAGTAATAAATGAAGTGAGAAGCAATATACGTGACAGATAAAGTGAACAGCACTCCATCATTAACATTTGTTTGAAGCCAGCAAATGCTACTGTAAAATTTAAGTAGCTTATCAAAATATACTGATAAGCAACTTAGCTTTTCACGTTATATGACAGTACTATCGCTTATGTTAATATGTTTCAAGTGACTCTGGGAACCACATATTGACTATTGCACAGAGAGAGAATTACTACTTTAAATAACGTTTAGTTTGGCATCACAATGTAAACATTCAAGAGGGATTAGACAGATAAGTTTCTCTCTTCCCATTTAGTTAAATAAACCTCAGCAGAGTTAAAAGCCATTATAATAGTAACAAGAAATCCTTTCAGAGTAAAACTCCTGCTCAGAGATTAACAAGAACTTGGTAAACAAGCCCATACAAGCATCACAAAATATTTTTCAAAAGAAGGGTTTAAGGTTTTTTGTTTTTTGGTTTTTTTTTAAGCTAACAATATGAAAAAGAAAACCTACTTCAAGGAATACATACTGAATTAGACTTAATCAGGCAGGGATCCTTAGCTGAAAATGCCATTTATAGAATCAAAATTACAATATTTTAGAAGTTTTATTTTTGTTTTAAACTAGATTTCTGTCAATAGCATATAAGTAGTAAACGAGAGAGATTTCAATTTCTAATTTTGACTGGGTTGCAACTTCACACAATGCTTGATAAATAGAATCTAACCAATCTCCTCAGAATGAGACATTTAATGGTTTAATAATTGTTTGCTACAAGGTAGTCCTTTAGAAATCAGCTGGTGTTCAAGTTTGAGTCCTTTTGGTACAGAGTTTGAGGCTGTCTGTGACAGCATAGTTTCCATGCACCTTTTTGCACTGACTGAGGCTTCTCTAGTGATGGCAGTGTTGAGGTTTTGAAGCCAAAGTCGGGTTGTATACCTCTTCAAAGAGCCACTGTTTTCCCCTGTTGGGAGGCCAGAGTTCACAGCTGAACCTTATCTTGCTACAGAGCCAACAGAGTTTCCTGTATTGCTTCATTAAGCCAAACATGCCAACTCTATGGGTTTTATTCAGTTGCCTGCAAGGACATTGGATCCAAATTCCATTTTAACTCTCAGTCAGCAGCTAGTAAATAGTTTCTGTATACAAAAAAGTGGAGATAAATATTTATATTTACACATTGCTAAAATGTCTGAACTGACGGTCATTCTGCACACAGTTCCGGGTGAGGGGAGGCATGCTGCCATTTCTATTACACTTGCTCACTCCCTATTTTTCCTTACTGCTCATTCATCTCTCTTATTGGACATGGTTATTATCCTGGCCTGTCACTTTCTACTCCTACTTTGTCCCGTCTCTCTCAAGTAATATTCACAGCTCAGTGTAACTGATCTAGTTCAGTATTTTATGGATTCAAACAATGCTACAGTTTGAAAATTAGCATCTCCAATTTAGGTGATGATGAAACGCATTCATGTTTCATAATACAAAGCTGGCAACAACACAAGAATGTCGGGCACCCATGGCTACTAGGGAGATATACGAGAATCTTGCGGGGAGGGGGTGGGGAGTGAGTGAAAGAATGATACAAAAATATCCAGAAATCAGAACCATTGCTGTTTCAAATAGGGGATTTTTCAGCAAACACAATTACAGCCAACATAGAATGACTTTGCCAAACCAACACGTCTATAAAAGGTCTAGATGTTTAGACTACCGTTTTCTATAAGGTACAGTATTAAGCATACAAGAGAATGCCTTTGGGGACCTGTGCTCCGTTCGCTAAGCTGTCACGGCCTGACTCCTTGCTTTCTAACCAAGCTTTATGTAGCCAGTGGAGAATCCCCACGAGACTCTGCATTGCCCCTTTCATCTGGGTATAAATGCAGCAGGCTTCTAGCCTACAGCAGTTGTCTTGAGACACGGTCTTGCTTCACTGTACCAGGCAGACCTGCAGGGAAGGAAAGGAAATTTCTACAGGATTTTTCCACTCCCTGTATTTTGCTTTTAGAAAGGCAAAATTTGCCTGACTGGTATTCAGATAACTGGGAAGGGGGGGGGGGGGGGGAATTCCTTAAAAGGGTAAGGGTTTGGGTAGGAATCAGAGAAGACTCTACCTGACAGTAATAAAGTTAAGTAGTAAGAGCAATGGTATAAGCAAAGAAACAACATATGCACACAGCCAAGAGCATCTTCCTTAAAACAACCATACTATGGAGCTGCAGATTATATATGAGTAGGGCAGGGAGAGAAGATCTCGATGTGGGACAGCAGCACATTTCTCTCACATGCTCAACTGCCCATTAGTCTCATATATTAACTGCAATTAAAATCATTACATAATTCAGCATTAGCTTTAGCAGTTAACTTCCCAACAACAGTCTCCCACTAATACAAAAATGTACATTTCCAGCTTCTCAGTTTTGGAAACAAGGTTATTTTTCTCAATAACTGTTTAATAACTGTGACTTGGAGAAGATTAGATTTCTCCTTTAATCTCAAATTATTTGTGTGAATGAGGGAGATTTCTCACCAAGGAAGGACTGATCGCCTTCTCTGTTATCACTGGTACAATGTAAGAGGCAGTACTGGTAACATAATGCCCTTGGAGTAATGGCACCTCCACAGAAAATCTAATGTAATTCCCTTGTATTTTCTGTGTTACCCTGAGAGGATGTGTGTGTCTTTCAGCAATTTATTGGAAATGCTACCTACAAAGTCCCTTTTACAGACTCGAGAATTCTCTGCCGTTCATAACATTTAACTATATATTTAAATTGCTGTGGCTGCACAGTGCAGTGTGTTGGTAATGTTTAATTTTATCAATACAGTAATTGCCAATCTTTTACTACATAATATTTGAAAAAATTGCAAATGTAGTGTATCTTAGATTCTCCTAGATCTCTCTCTCAGGTGCTTGGCTGGCTGGTTCTTACTGTCACGCTCAGGGTTTAACTATGATCACTGTAGGTGGGGTCAGGAAGGAATTTTTCTCCAGGTCAGATTGGAATGATCGCCTCACTCTGTAGCATGTGGGTGCGGGTCACTTGCCAGCTTTATCTGGATATATCACACTTAATCATTTCCCTTGTGGGAACCTTGGGCACTGGTGCATCTCAGTGCCTCCTATTCTCTGCCTGTGGTACATAATAGTCTAATTTCCCGTGGGTGGTAAAGCTTTTATCTAATTTTGGTTGTTGGGTTTAGGATGCAGGTGCTGGGCGGTGTTGGTGGCCTGTGATACACAAAAGGTCATAGATGATCTGGTAGTCCCTTCTGGCCTTAAACTCTATAAACTGAGCACTTCACAGCTTTAATGTGTTTATCCTCGTGGTAATCCTGTGAAGTAGGGAAGTGCTATTATCCTACATTACAAATGGTGAACTGGAGCACAGACAGGTGAAGAGACATGCACAAGGTCATGAAGGAAGTCTAGCTGAGCATAGAACTGAACCCAAGTCTCCAGATTCCCATGTTAGTGCCCTAATTCCTGGATCCTCCTCCTTCTTCCTGATAGTTTAAAGGAAGACATAGCAGCACCTTTGAGATTTTCTTTCAATTGACAGATGTATTTATTTAGAGAGATTTTCACATATAAGCCCATTTCTAAAGTTTTTACATCGCTCTCCATAAAATACATTAGTCACTACCCAAATTTGCAAACCTTTCAGACGCACTGTAAAGCTCAATTGTTTTCCTTTTGGGAGACTGAGGAGGGGAGTAGAACTAAGGAAATGG